AGTAATTTTCAAAGTTTGTTCCCTGAGAATGAGATCTCCTTGCAGGACGCAGCAGTTCCGAAACCCAAACTTTATGCAAATAAAATGTAATCGTGTCACCTAGAAAAGAATCGTTCTGCTTAACCAGGCCTCACAGACACACGTAAAATACACGAGTGCTCTCCACGTGTGTGTACATATGGCTTAGGGCAGCGATCTGTGTAATCCAGGTGAAGAAATTGCACCTCCGGCTTAGGGCAGCGTTAGCTCAAATGCACCTCAGAGCAGCATCTGTTTCCCTGAAGGAAATCGCCCTTTTCACTTAATTATTAGACCTAGTTTCTTTAAATTGCCCTTTGATTCATGCTGCAGCTACCCCTGTCCCTGCTAAAATGACAGCTGGACAAAATCTCCCTGTCGCAAAGACTGCGTTGTGTTACCTGCTTTCCCCTCCTCTGACCCGGGCCCATTTTAGCACCTCCCTTGTTTAAAAAAAACCCAAAACAATTTACTTTGTCACTTAATAGCAGCTGTGATTAATATATTGCTCAGGACATGTGGTTTGGCAGAAAATGATAGAAGGACCCACAGATGAGACCAGTCTGAAAGGTCTGGCAGATGCAATTAAACTGCTGTACGATACAGAAGCTAGAGAATGGACAGCAGATGATGTTATCAGTCTCGTGGATGAGCTGTCAGGTGTGTTTTTACCTTTACCATTAATCCCTTGGATGATACGCTTGTGTCCTCCAAACCTGGCAATAACTGTGTTTCGGACACGGGGGTGCCTCGGGAAACCTCCCTCACGGTGTCACTGGGGAAGTCGTTACCCCTGGAAGCCAGGCAGTCGCTGGGGATGGGAGAAACCCAACACTGCTTGTGAACTGGGGCTGTCGTTCCCCGTTGTGAAATATTTTAAGAATCCATGCTGACCTTTAAAGCTCAAGTCTTGTCAAGCCATTATGAAGGAAACGTTGCCCAGGCTATGTAAGCTGGAAACAGAACGTTTTTCCGAGCCAAAATTCTACTGAACAGTGTTAACGGCTACGTTGAAAGTTAGTTTTGGGTGAGCTTATGTCACAGAAATGGCCGTGAAGAGCTCTAAGTGTATTGCCAGCGGGAAGGGCTTGCACGGCTTCATTGCTGTGATTGTGTCCCCTCGCGAAGCCTGGTCAGCTGTCAGAGCCAGCAATTCACAAACTCCCGTCGACGGTGGCACCCCTTTCTTTCTCTGCAAAGATCGCTGAAATTCTCTCTGTTTTATTACAAAGTGGTTCCCCGGGCGTGGCTCATGGAGAACAACGTTCGGCTGCTTATTCTGAGCGGAAACAGCATTTGCTTCACTTTCATGGCCAGTAAAGCTGTGAACGGGAGAGCCGTCGAGTTGGCCCGGCTCGTGGTCTTCCTGGCTTTGGTGAGTACCGGCGGACAGAGCGGGCTCGGGCCTCTCGTCTCTTTACCCCCAGATTTGCTCTCCCGGACTTGAAAGCTGTTTCCCCATCGCCTCCTGCAAACCAGGAGTGAGAGGCTTGGGACTCTCCCAGCCCCCCGGGCCCTGCCCAGCCCATCTCAGCGAGGCAGCAAGCCTGTCCGCGAGGAGAGGTCCTGCTGGCGGAAGGGTGACACGTTCTCCTGTCAGTGTGCCAGCAAGAACAGCCTCTAGTTCGTCGTAAACCACCCTCACTTTCCAGGCCGTGGCTGCAGCCAACGATCCAGTTGTTCATTAGAATTGATAATTAATTCTAAGATTTAATCTTGCCTTTCATCCCATCGCTCTCATCATAAAAGGGGTGTTTCTAATCTGTCCTGTGTGTGTCAGGTCTGTGAGAAGGACCTGTACTGCATGGACTGGGCGGTAAAGATGATGCAGAAGGTCTGCGAAGTTTTCGCCACGCCGGGGGAGAGAAACAACTTCCTGCAGTGCGTGGAGAACACCTTCGCGCGCATGATCATGGACATGCTCCAGGCCGTGCTGTCCGGTAAGGCCGCGGCTCTGCCAGCCAGGACGAGCCCTTTAGCCAGGAGCTGGCGCCGACTGAGGCGTCGAGCGACGCCGCTGGCGCGGCATCGCAGCCTGTCCCCGCTCCCTCCCTCCCCGGGCAGAACAGCACCGCAGCGCCTGAAGATTTTTGGTAAAACAACCAGCCCAGTGCCATCGTGAGGAGAGACGTTTATTTGAACCCGTTTCTCTTGCCTAAGAGGTTCTTAGCGCCGCGGGTGGCGAAACAAACGGCCTTTTAAATCACATCCCGCCAGAGCAGGGGGGCCGAGGCCCCGCCGGGCTGTGTCTGACCCAGGCCCTCAGCAGCTGCCCCCCAGCCCGCTCGGCTCACCAGGCCGCAGGTGCTCCCTGTCCGCAGCTTGGCAAAACCTCCAGGTCGATTCTGGTGGCGCCACTGGCCTGCTCAGCTCGGGCAGGTTCTTGTCTTAACGCGCAATTGTTCTTGTCCGTCTTGGGACAAGCTGGCGAGAGAATTTTGGAGAGAGTCTCCTGTGCTCACCCAGCCGCCCTGCCATCGGGGGCGGGAGCTGAGGCCTCGTGAATCTCAGCGAGATTCAGCCTCTGCTGAAAACACGGAAGGGGTAAGATTTATCTTCAAGGAAGTCACAGAGTTGCACTAATCATTTCTAAATGGTTTTCTTTGCCCTGGTAGGGGATCGCGATGAAGACGACAGCAGCTTCTTGAACTTGTTTCACCTTGTGAATGCGCAAGCGAACTTCCATAAAGAAATCCTGTACCTGGCCATGAGGAGCAGCAGCAACACTGTCTGATGCTCTGACCTTCACAGACTCTTGCTCTAATCCTGCTGGATTTTTCTCTCTCTCTTTTTTATTATTTTTTTTTTAAATATTTGCAAAGCAATGTCCAAATACGTCTTAAATTTCCATTCCAGTAAGAGCTGGAGCAGGAGAAGCTGGTGACACACGTGTCCGACCAGCTGAATGAGCTCAGGGAGCCAGCGGGGACCTTGGAGCCTTCGCAGCGGAGCTCTGCGCGTTTCGCTCCTCCGAGGCCCCGCTGAGACCCGCTGAGGCAGCCGGGGGCCTCCGCTGGGAGCATGGGCCGCGTTCTTTCCCCGCCGTGGCTGTCTGCACCCCCAATAAAACCGAGGGGGCTTCCGTGTTTGGTGTGCACACACAAAGTGAAGAACGTTCCCTTAGTTCAGAACCGACAATGTTTTGATCTTCTGGTTTTGTTTTCTCTTGGGAATCGGAGGAGGCGGAGACGTCTTCCGAACGCCTGCACTCCGCTCCGCAGGTTGTACCTCCAGGTCTAGCAGAGGAGGCGATTCCCGACAGCAACTGAACTGCTTCCATCAATCCAGGCGAGCGTTTTCCTCTCGGACTCCGGGTGCCTTTTAACCATCGAGTGGAAGAAACTCCAGGCCCCTCGCCCTGCCCCGTGTGATGACCGAGCTGTTAGAGTCTGTTTGCCTTTGTAGGACTTAGCGCAGTTGAAGGCGCGTTCGATGCACGTAGGCCAAGATCACTGTTCATTAAAGCGTGTCAGTGTTTGCTGCTTGTGAAAGGTTTGGGGTTTCTGCTGTATTGCCTTCATCACGGAGCACGTAACGCGAAATAAACAGCACTTGCGTTCACAGCACGGCTCTTCCCGTCGTTAACTGGCCGCCTTCTCCGCCTGAACCTCTTCCCAAACGTTTCAGTGCTCCTTCAGGACCAGCTTGGAGCCGCAGGGCCCCACGCTGAGCCCTGAAGGCCCGTCCTCAGCTGCTGGAAGCAGCTCGAGTGGTGCCCGTTTATCTCAGCTGCCCCCACTTGATTTCATCAGCCAGGAGCTGGCGGCAGCTCTGTAATGACTCGCTTGGAAGCCTGGGCATGAAAAACGCTTGCGACATTTGCTGGATATACCACTCCAGACGGGGGCTGACTGCGCTGAGCGGCGGATACGGGATATACGTTTGCCGAGGATCTCCGCAGCGTGCCGGTAGATGGCAGGGGTGAAACCTTCCCGGAGAGGAGCGTCCGCTGGCGATTGCTTCTGGCAGCCCTTGAAGGTTGCGGTCAGGAGCACCCAGCGCCGCTGTGCTGCAGCTCCGTCTTGCTGCCCAAGGGAGCCAAACGCAGGAGGCTC